TTCATCCTCTTATAATCAAAGCTAAGATTATATTTTTAATCTGTGTTAGTGACATTACTAAACCATCATTTCCTAGCGACATTACCAGCTTCCTACACACAGAGGAAACCTATAGTGTTTATAAGTTTGATTTTAAGATAATGGATGATGAGTTCCATTTAACCATTGAGAAGCTTTTTTCTACACAAAATCTTAGCTTGAGGAATAAAATGTAAATGCTAAAATGGTGCTATCCTGGTTGTTTGAAAGCCTAAAGGATTTAATGCTTTTGACGAAAAGTCAAGGTTAGCAATCTTTCGCCATTTGTAATGGCATCTGGAGAATGCAAACAGCTGTATCAAAGGCAGAAGAATGTGAGATTCCCTTTTCCTGCCTTTGCACATTTTACGTTTTCTCCAGGGAAATGTGAGCTCATCACCAAGGCCAAGGTGATTCCTTCAGATTTCCCTAAACAGAACTGCCTAAACAATTTTATGGATACTTCCTCATCAGGGACCATGCAGCCCTACTAATACCAGCCTTTAGATTGCTAAGCTATGTATATCTACTCCATTTATATCCTGTTTCAAGGGGTTAAAAGCTACAGCAGAGGACAATTCATTTTGTTCCCTAGTCAGATTCCACAGAATAAGATATATTTGTCGGGTCACAAGAGCATAACAGAACAAGAAGATATACTCTGTGGGTTGTAATAAATGAATACTCTTTATGTGATCATGTTTCCTCTCTCGTAATAAATAAAGACAACAAGATGAGCTTGATTTGTCAGTTTTTCTTATGGTCATCTCTACCTTTTTTCTTTTTTTGGTAGTGCTGTATATTTCTGATGCTTATTTTTCCTATGATCTCAATATTCCATTAGTACTTTCAGTCAGTTCCTGAGCAGATGACACTGCCTGGATACATGTTGACAGTGATAAAGAGTGCCAGATCTGATGATACAAAACATGCAGAACTTCAGGTATGCAAAGAATCACGCTGAATTCCTTGGGATTACTTGCATGCTTAACCAGAAGCAGGTGTGGTAATCTTTGCAAGACCAAGGTCTTACTTTTAAAATAAAATAGTAGGTCAAATTCATTTCAGAGATCACTCCACTGGCCAAATAAATGCAGAACTGATGAACTTAATGCAGTGACTTAAAAGATTCAGTTGGCTTACAGTCTTCTCTGTCTGTTCTTTCTTCCACTTTAGCAATGAACGAATTTCCCAGCAAACACCTGGGATATTTCACTGAATGTTTCAGAATTTATTTGAAGGTGTACGGGAATACAATATGCACACAATATGCAGTCACATTATTCTTTCATTTACTTTGGTAGCATCATCTCCACTTTCTGTTGCAGTTTATAAGCCTGGCATTAAAAATAAAGCACTCCATTCACTTTTCTTTCACTGACATGAGCAAAAAGTCTCATTGTTTGACAGCATGGATTAGCTGGGTTCATGATGGCCTCTGATTCAGAGGGAGATTGAGAAACAACACTCAAGTCTTTCTCCACCTAAGCACTGAGCACTAATTCAGTTTAAGATTTGGAGAGAGAAGCAAAGCAAGACAAGCCCAATTGTACTTAGGAAAATGACAAGTGATCCAGGGGAGGAAAGTGTCACACACAAAATGGCACATCACTAGCCTGCTGGAAGGGAAACATGAACTTACTGAGGCAGGTTAGGGGCTTTGTCCATGTAATCCTCTCATAGCACTGAGGACAGATTTCAGAATACTAAACAAAGCAAATTCTTATATTTGCAACGAGGAGCACTCAGTGTAAATTATTTCTTAGGACAAACTCTGACTCTTATTAGAGCTTGTTTCATCCATGCACAACAAAGGTAGCACCTAACAGCACACACTGGTAAGAAAAACAAGAACTCCCTTTATATCTTTTTTATTACATTAAACACACTGCTACCTACCACACCATATCCTAAATTAGCATTCCCTCCTTTGCTATTCCTTTTATTTCACAGTCACTGTTATTTATGGTCTATGTAGTTCCTCGTTCACTGCTTCAGAAAATGAAGATAAAGAACAACGTTTGTCGTTTGCCTTCTGTGCTGTTGTTTTTTTTTTTTTCCCACTGCTTATTCCCAAGAGGGCTCCCCTGTTTGTTCTTTTTATACATATGTGATGGATAGCTCCAATTTTCTTCTTCAACGTAACACAATTAACAGGGCTTTCTAAAAACACTGAATAGTCTCTCTGACTTTCTAAGTAGAGAAGCAGTGAGTGAGATTACTTTTACTACAGTGCAAACAGAATAAATAAAAAGTAGGCAGGGTAGATTGAACTTTAGTCTCCAAAGCATGGTTTTAAACCCAGAAGTGAACAAGGCCCTTTCACACATACAAAGGGGTGAAAGGAAAGCGGGGTCTATTTCTCACTGCAATATGATGGGTTCTGGGAGCTGCCCCCAAGCTCAGTGAGACTCCTCATGATGAAGGCTGCCCTCAGACAGAGATGGGGAGAGCTGCTTCTCCTAGGCAGGAAGGCCTGTTGGCACAGGCAGCCTGAACTTGTCCCTTCCTAATGAAACTAGACACAAGTCCATCCTAAAAGAAAGCTATGGCAGGGTAACCCCATTGCAGGCACTGGGTGAATTGCTCTGACTAGCAAGCATGGGTAGTATTTTAAATTTAAGTTACCTAAAATAGCTACGTCCACCTATTTGATGCTGCTCAGGAACACTGTGTTGGCTCCACAGCATTGTGCTGTGTTGACATAATCTTAATTTTCCCTTGCTAGAATGATTGCCTCTTCCCTCTCCTCACCCTTTTACCCTGTCCTCACATTGCTTCAGATTTAATTTGTTTCCTGAGCATTGGTTTCAAGGGTTGCATGAATCAGGGTGACACGAACTTTGCCAACCCACTGTTGACATTCCAAGTGTGGCGCAATAGCAAGAGACAAGATTGCAGATATTCAATAAAACAAAAAGGCAGGTTTGTTTTTTCTAGAAAAGTTTCATTTGTTCTGGCAGGTGTGTCTGATACCTTTTGCATAATGATAAACCCACACACATTCTTCATGCAAATAGTGACCCAACAGTTGCTCTTAGTTGCTTCAAGTAAGTGCATGTAACAACCTGCACTTACATATACACACATGTTTACAAAGCATTCATACAGTGCAAAGTAAACAAAGCCCATTGTGCTGAGGGAGGGACGCAAAGCACTGCTGAAACAGAGGTGCTATACCATGGCCATCATGGTCCAAATCAACTAAAACTGTCCAAATTCTTCAGAAATACAGGCGTACTCCAATAAGGCTTATCATTCTTCTAGCATTTAGTACCAGATAATTTTTTCTATCATGTGCATTATGTGAAATACCTCACTTATCTCAACTATTCCTGTTCCACAAAGGCTGTGGGAGCTACTGTAGATGTAAACATGAACAGTTGTGAGTTCCTCTCACTTGAGGAACGAGTGTTAATAACGTCCAGTGTGACTGCTTAGGCACACAAATTTGGACCGTTCTGAGCGCTGAGACTAGCCCTCATTTGCTACATGTGCTCCATACAACTGCCTTGCCAACTCAGGCTTGGCCAGTAAAGAGCTTCTCACGTCCTTTGTCACATCCTCTGCTAGCTTTCTCCTTTAAATCCTGCAGTACCGAGCCTTGAAGGTCTGCAGAATATTCCTTATGCCAGGCCTCACTGTTAATTAGATCAGATAATTACTAAGAGCTTCATTTTTGTTGTTAGAGTTTTCACTTCACAACTGATCCTAATCTTGATAGTTTTTGAGTAGAAACAACAAATAAGACTGTTCATCAATGCGATTGTTTTGGTAAACATGTACCTTGTTGATGACTCTTCAAGTTGTACTTCAAAATGAAAAATAAAGAAGTATTTCTATGTATGTGGTAATATCTGCACATATCTAAATCTACTTTCTTAATCCAGAATTATAATTTTAACATGCAATTCTGCTACACCAAAGGTACATTCATACAATTAGCTGAACTTTCTGTCAACAGCAAGCAGGTCTAATTAGCTCTGTTTAATATACAGACAACTGCAGTACCTGACAATGAGCTTGGGGGGACTGATTTATAACAGATGAGAAGAAGATATGGCTCTGCTTTTCTGTTGTATTTGCTGGCATGAACACTCTCCGGTGTCTGCACTGAGCAACAAATAGTTTAACTTCACCCTTTTGATCCTGCACCAAAAAGGACTAGCACTGTAGTCACTTAAGGACCAAATTAATAATTCACTTTTCAGACCCAGTGGCTCACCTGTGTATTTTAAATGCTTTCTGGTCAGCCAAATGCACGGCTCTTAGCCACGTAACCCAGCTGCAGAAGCAGTTCACATTTCCACGCTTGACTTTGCACTGAAATATCCTAAGAGCACCCAAACACTAAAAACATAATTGTGGAAGCCAGTGACCTTGTACAGGGACATGGTGCCTGAGCATCCAGCCTGGCAGCAGCCACCCTCCTCCTCTCTGGCAGTGCTCATTTATTCACTCATCATTTCAACGTGAGCAGCACAGTAGCTTCTGTGGCAATGAAAAGCCAGTTAGAGTCTGATCACCACTGAGAACGCTCAGTCTACTCAAATAGCTACAGTTTAAGTCATACCTAAAGTTGCTTTATGCTGCAAGGGGCCAGTGTAAGCATGGGCAACAGGATGTAAAGGGAGTATTTTAGGAGCTTGTAAAAGTAAGCGTGTTTAAAAATCCTTTGGGATGTGGTGCTCAGGAACGTGATTTAGCAGATGGAGTTAGGGCAGTACGGTCAGATTGCGGTTGGACTTGATGATCTTTAATGTCTTTTCCAACCTGAGTAATTCTATGATTCTAAATGAAAGGCAGGAATGTTCCCCACTGGGACTGAGATACTGTCCCTTGGGAGTTTTACTGTGAATTCAGTGGAGTCAGGATTTCGTCTTGTCATACATTTAATATTCTAAAAGAAGCAAAGCTACACAGACTTTGATAACCAGATGATTGTGACTGTGGCTCATACAGAGAGGTCCTGTGAAACATACCGCTACCACTGTAAGACAGTAAATGTTCCCTGCCTGTTTGGGTGTAACAGCTGCAACATACTGTAAGAAGTCGACCAAATAAAGCCAAAAATCCAGATAGGTTTCTGATGCTTTCTAGGAGACACTTTGATCTTCGCATCTTCTAATGTGTCCAATACATGATGAGTTTTGTCCTTCCCTGTAAATTCATTCATTTGATATTATGTTTTATTTTAGAAAAAGCACTAGAATCTGTTTCAACATGACGAAGAAAATACCTAATAATTGTCATCAAGCTTATCTGATTGGCATTTTAGCTTGAGTTCCTACTAATAAAAAACTATTTGAGACTTTAACAGAAATGTAAATGTTGAAGTTTCACAGGTCATTGAGTTTTATAATATTGAGTCATTGGCCTATTATGCATTGATCAAGCAAATAGCAAACGGTGTGACTTGCCAAAGAGCATTACACAAATATTGACTAGGAATTCATGACAGTCGGCTACTCTCCAAAGGCTGCAAAAGTTAACAGGAAATTTTTACCTGGGGCAACTGCAAGCCTCTGCCATAAGACAGACAGCTACAGTGGTTCCTTTTTGTAACCACCTTTTCTAAGCCAGGCAATCTTACAGTAAACAGATACACACTTGAAGAAAATGCTTCTATTCATGTTGATTTCCTCGCTTATCTCTCAGTCATCTCATAATTCCAGCAATCTCTATTGCTCTCCTTAATTAATCATATAAATTAAACAAGCAGAAATGCAAATATATGCAGTGTACTGCTCCATTCTTAAATTTGATTTGTATGAAATGTAATGTGTTTTATCTTGAACAAAGAACACTAAATTACAAGCTTCTAGCATGGCTATTCCCAGTCTTACTTCTCCATCAAAGGCAGGAGTTTGATCCCAGTGTTCATTAGCAGAGGGAAGCATTTCAGTTCAGAAAGGAGAAAAAGGCACTGTACTCACTGAGCCCTTCCCAGAGCACCTCCTGGAGCAAAGTCTGGTTTGAAAACATCCAAATATCTTCTTCACAGAACCACAGAATATCCCAAGCTGGAAAAGAACCACAAAGATCATCAAGTCCAGCTCCTGGCTCCACAAGGGAACATCCAAAATCCAAACCCTACATCTGAGAGCGCTGTCCAAACACTCCTTGAACTCTGACACTCAGGGCTGTGCCCGCTGCCCTGTGCAGCCCATTCCATGCCCACCGCCCTCTGGTGCAGACCCTTTCCCTGACCCCAGCTGCCCTCCCCTGATGCAGCTCCATGCCGTTCCCTCGGGCCCCGTCGCTGTCACACAGAGCAGAGCTCAGTGCTCCCTGTGAGGAGCTGCAGCCACCATCAGGCTTCCCCTCAAATCCTCTGCTCAGGGCTGAGCAAACTGAGGGCCCACAGCTGCTCCTCATACTCCTTGTCATCCAGACCCTTCCGTATCTTAGAAGCCCTCCTTTGGGCATAATAGTTCTATGTCTTTCTTATATGAAACCTATCAAACCTACACCCAGCGCTCCAGGTGATGCCACACAGTGCAGAGCACAGCAGGACAATCCCTTCTCTCACCTGATCAACAGTGCTGGGCCTGATGCACCCCAGGCTAGGGCTTCCACAGAACACAGAGCACTGCTGAGAAGATCCTATCTTAAATCTGACCTTTCCCTAGGACACAGGGCTCACTATGGGCATTTCAGACCCCGCTCCACAGTCAGAGGTAGGAGCATGCACCACTTTTCTCAAAGCACAGCTGGAGGAGGTTATCCCTAGTTTATCCACCTGGCTCAGAACCAGAGGCCTCACCCACATCCACAGGGGAACTGGCTTCATTTCCCCCTCACCACAAAAGAATTCAAATCAATTCTCTTGAAGAGACTACAAGGCAGCTTGGGATTAATAACATCCATTCCTGAGGAAGCAGTTCCACACTATTTGGAATAATCAGATATTTTCTTAGCCAGGGAGAATGTATAGACTCTTAGATATTCAGCTGGAAGGAGAAAACAGAGTGTCAGTCCTTGTTCTGCTGCCTATTTCACACTTCTGTGCTGTACGTTTAATAAAACAGGAACTGACATCAGTGCCTTCCATCCCAGGTGAGCGGTTAACACAAGATCTCAGAATCACACTCAATCTCCTTTTTCCTTTTTCATCTAACGGATGCTGAACTAGTCCCTGAAAATCAGCCCAATTTCTTCAGGAGAACATTAGGTCAAGTCATGCCTCTGTCAGGATGAGATGCATGGCACATTAGGTTGTTGACTCACTCAGCTTTCAGCAAGCTGGCATAGAAACCAGTGGCAGCCATGACAGGATAATGTCGTCTGCACAGGCTGGTAACTGAGCTCAGGTTTCTTGTGAGACTGAGAGGGGGCAGCCTGGACATGCTGCAGACAGGCTTGCTGCCCTTCCTAGCCACTGCTACACCATTGGGTGAACACAAAGAGCACCTCCATGGTCAGCTGTGTTGATAATCCTAAGAGGCTTTCAATCACCAGCTAACAGACAAGACGAAGTCATACAAAAGCAAGTAATAGAAAATTTATTAGTAATCTGGATTTCAAGAGATTTGCATTTGCATCATTATTTTTCAGTTTTCCTTAAAGATCCAAGCCACAGACCAGAATGGGATTCTATTCTGCATCTGGTTTAGGTGCAGAAGTATCTCAGAAACAGCTGAGTACACCCAGAAAGAAACCTTACCATAGCCCTGAACGTGGATCCTGCTCTGAGGATATGGACACTCACTTCCACCATCTGTGTTCTGGTAGCACACAACATTCAACACTTCACTCATCCCTAAAATTCTTTAAAAAATACATAAAGCTGCTTTTGAAACTCTACCATTTTTGGCTTGCAGTGCTTTCCAGCAGATAGAACTTAAGCACTGCTGATCTTTGAGTAGCAGTGATTTGAAGACAGCTGAAATAGAACTGCTGCACCTTGCCAAGAACATTTCTCTTGACACAAGCTCATGATGGATAGATCAATAGCTTCTTGAATCCTCATATCCTTTTCAAATTACTACTCCTGATATATACCTGAGTAGGCCATCTTATCTGATAACTTAAACAAGCAACCTGTCTACACTTTAATTGTTATTGAGGATTAATGTTGTTTATAAAATGAAATCAATACAATCTCTATTGCTTATTAACAGAAACATTCTGGGCTCTGCTTTGTTTGCTTTGCTTTTCAATTAGTTTCTATTATTTTCCCTATTAGCTTTTAACAAATAGCTGTAGAAATAAACTTAATGGTTGTGAAACTGTTATCAGAGTCAACAAAGCTCCTTAATGGAAAGTCTTGTATATTTAAATGTAAAAAAAATCCACTGTTTAATCATTTGACATCATGAGATAAGTTTATTACTATACATCTGTTCTGTGCTGGACCTAGACTTTTTTTCTAAGCTGAGCAATTAAGAGTTCTTAAGAGTTCTCAAAAGTTCAGGTGTCAGAACAGTTAAGCTCTTCATTACATGTAAGATGAATAAACTAGACAGTCTCTTAAAAAATAGCAAAAACTGAAAGTGGGCAGAAAACAATGAGATTGCCAGGCACCTAATAAATATTGTCCTATTACACTGTAAAAGTGTTCTCAGCACTGTGCAGCCATTAAGCATCTGAAATATCTCCCAGGCATTATCCATGCTTCCTCTGTCATCCCGATTCACATCAGTCACATCGACTGCTGCAACTGCAAGGGTTTGTTCATTCCTAGCAGAACAGAAGAGAAGCAAGATAGGCTAAAGTTCCTTGGCTCCAGATACACTCTTCATACTAAAGTATGAATCATAGAATCATTAAGTTTGGAAAAGACCAATAAGATCATCTAGCCAAACCATCAACCAACCACCATCGTGTCAGGTAAATCATGTCCTTCAGTGCCACATCCAAATGACTCTTGAACACCTCCAGAGATGGTGACCTCCTTAGATCCAGAGGGAGAATAGATGATAGTGAAGGCCAATGGCTATATGGCAGGGGAGAACAAATCTGAAGATGCAGAAAAGCAATAACCTTGGCAACAAATCTCAGTATATACGTGTGGTATATGGCAGCGCTCCATTCTCCAGCTAGTATTGAGAGAGTACAAATCTGCTTTCTCAGTCTTTTTCTTTGTTGCTGCGCTTCAAATAAAGTCAACTTTGCTTTCGTGTTATTCACCATGTAGAAGGAACAGTGTGTGACTGAGATTGCAATGGAAACTTTCTATCTATGGAAATACAGCTCTACCAACCTTGCTGAAAGTGCTGCATCTTTTTTTGTGTCATGTCTTTACCCATAACAGCCAGAGACACCTGCAGATCTAACTCTCTTGGCATGCTCTTTGTGCAGTCTTGGTAATTTAGCTGGACTTTGTCATCAAGCAAGCATATTTCCACCAGTTAGAGAGCTGAGTTGTTGCGCAGTGTCTGCTGCCACTCAAACTGCAGGCACTAAAAACAGTGGAATGATACCTGCATCCCTGTGCAAAATGAGCCTGACTTGGAAGCACAACCTTGCCCCTTCCTTCACTGACATAAGTAGAGAACTGGTTTAAGTACAAGACGCTGTTGAATAGGCCCAGTAAATAGATACATTTTTGGAAGCAAGTGTATAATTCCTACACACATGGGGAGGACGGTCCAGGCCCTTTGCCATTTTGCTCCTTGCCGTGTATTCTGAACTGCACATAAGTAAATAGGTCTGAAAGCCACTGGACACAGGCTAGCTATTGGAGCCCGTCTCCAGACGGCTCTGCACTCCCTTGGTTTGAAATAATTCTGTTTGCAAGTGAAAGAAATATTCTTAGCCTTCAAGCAGCGCTGACGCATTCCAAGGTGGGGCGAGGCAAAAGGTTATGAAACTTGCTCAGGTGTCATTTATTTCATGAAAGTTTGCTGGTTATTATAATCAAATGTCAATTGTCTGTAATTGCTGTATGCAATGGAAAATCCCTACTTATTACATGTTCTGCCACTAGCTGTTAAAGTACGCTAACCCTCAACAATGAAGCAATATTTTTAAAATAGTTTTGACATGTAAGCAGGCTCAGGAGTATAATTAATGTATGTTTATTTTGATTTATTTTTTTCTTATGGTTTTCCCTGTAAGGAAACCACCCTATATTTCAGAAGGGTTCAATGCAGAATGAAAGATTTCTTCCAACCCATTTTAATTCATTCTAGTTATCTAATTACTAATTAATAACACATTCTGCTTTGATGGCTTTTGTCTTATCTTAGCATTACAAGCATGGATGAATCTTGCAGTAATCTCACAAGACATGACTGCATTGGTGGCTTACCTAGTAAGGATCAGATCGTGGAGGACAACTGGAAGTCACCTCAAATGCAGTTATGAAACAATATTCTCTGATAGCAAGCTGGCAGTAGAGCTGCAAAATAAGGTGCAAACTGTTGTAATCCAGAGCAATTATTATTCTGTGATTCTATTTAGGGACACGGTTTAGTGGGCATAGTGGCAATGGATTGATGGTTGGACTTGATGATCTCAGAGGTCTTTTCCAACCTTAACAGTTCTATGATTCTTTGATTCTATGATATGATTCTATGAACACAGAAGTAAGATTTGGTACAAGAACTTGGACTGAGTAGGTGTTGGGCTGGGTGTAGCAGAGAACATAAATTCATTTTAATCTTTTTGTGTTTTTATCTTTTCTAATAAATGAAATGAATTAATGGATTAGCTATAGACATAATAACTGAATTATTGGGGGAGGAGGGACCAGAGGTGGGGTGGCAGTGCTTAAACTGATGGAGAAAAGCATTAGAAATTTTCCATTAGCCAACATTTTCTTAGTTTAACAGTCTGTTGGAAAAAAAAAAAAAAAAAAAAAAAAAAGCATAAGGACAGCTTACATTCTGGAGCTGAGGGTAAAGAAATTCAGATCAGAATCCAATGCCAGGGTCAGTTTACACATGGATGCTATAGACTTGCTGTCACTTGCAGCTTGAAGTTGCAGCTGGCTTTCTGAAAAGGTGCTGGGGTTCAAATAGTTGCTCTGGGCTTGATGCAGAAATTGCACTGTGCAGCTCCATGGCTTGTTCTATGCATATGGGAAAACATGATTCATATCTAGCCTTAAAATCTTTGGCTCTGAGGAAAGAAAAGACATTAACAGTGTTCCAATAGTCAAGCAATCAGAGTAGTTTACAATGAGGTGTACTTGAAAAATTAAGAGGGGAGAGGAAAGAGCCAAAGGATTTCATTAGCATGCCAAGTTGGTCTAATGTTCCTCATCAGTGTCTGCGTTGTGTTTGTCTTATATTTTCATTAGAGCTGGCCCACTGTAGGTGAAGATATTTGTAAAAATGTGCAAAATTTCTCTCCGCTTGTACCTGAGTAATTCTTACATTGAAAACTATCCCTACTCATTTTAACTGGTAAGCAGAAGATAAATACCAAGATTATATGCAGGTACATACAAAAGCTGAATAAGGTTGACCTGTAATTGTCACTCCAATGATCCCTTTAGCACTTTTAAATATATGCATTTTGTTTCTTCACAATGAGAAATGATGTGAATATGAGACTGAGTGGGAATTCATGTTTATATGTGTATACACAATGAAAAACAGAAATTGTGGAGCAAACCCAAATAAAGGCACACTTGAAAAATTGTATGCAAGT